TAAAAAAAATCTGTACAAAGTTACACATAAGATTGTCATTTTACAGGGCCAGTGACAAAACTTTTCAAATGCCCCACATATTATTGAAACCTTCTTGAAAGAATTATTCAATAAAATTTTCTATTGCTAAAAAGGTTAGAAATAAATAATGATAAAATAAAATATATAATATAAGATAAAGATAAAGTGTAAAGTGTAAAAAGTGTAATGCACTCCAACTAGATCCATGCATTACTGTCATGATTATCCACCAAGTCATCATGTCTGCAAGAAAATTAAGTTACAATATAAAATATAAAATACACAGTGAAACTCGATTTAGCGGATTTCGATTTAGTGGATTTCAGAACAGTATTTTTTTATAGTTATTTTATCTTGATTTAATGGATTTAGCAGATTTTTATATATTAATATATTCAGTATACCAGTTATTTTTTTAGACTTTCTCATGTTGTACATTAACAAACTTATTTTGATATAACAGATAATGATGATCATTACTAGAGATGGGGTGGTTCAGTTTGGTTCAGTTCTGGTTCCATGGAACTGGTTACAATAGAACTGAACTGAACCAAACTGTTCAAACTGGTTCTTGGAACCGGTTCCAAAATAGATGTAGCACAAAATATTATTGTCAAAACTAATTTTCTTTAAGGGTATTGCTTCCTAATATGAAAACAGTCTATGAGATACTATCTAGTCATTGTCCATATTTAATGTTGGCGATTATTTTTGTTTTGCCAATCACTAATTGACCAATGGGAATGAAGAAAGGTAAATGAAAATGACAAAACGGATATTAAAATATCCCGATATGGTGAAGTGGGCTTGACCTCAAATAAATTTAATTATTTAATATTAACAGATGGTCTTTTGGAGAATTGCAAATGGTTTTTTTTGAATTGTATAAAAAAAATGGACCTTTGGCAAATTGCAAAAAAGGTTTTTGACATAAATTTTAAAAAATGGACTTTTGGCGTGAATTGTAAAAAGATTTTTTGAATTGTAAAAAATAGTCTTTTGGCGAATTGTAAAAAAAGATTTTTTGACATTATCATTTAAATTGTAAAAAATAGACTTTTGGCGTGAATTGCAAAAAGATTATTTGGATTGTAAAAAATGGTCTTTTGGCGAATTGTAAAAAAAAAAAGACTTTTGACATTATCTTAACAGATCATTTAAATTGTAAAAAATAAACTTTTGGCGTGAATTGTAAAAAAGACTTTTGACATTATCCTAAATTGTAAAAAATAGACTTTTGGCATGATTTTTTTAATTGTAAAAAATGGTCTTTTTGGAAAATTGTAAAAAAAGATTTTTTAAATTATCTTAACTATTTTTGAGCTTTTCTATAAAACTGGTGTAAAATTTTGAAGTTATCGCGTCTACGATTAACCAATAAACGTGACATTAACGAACCTGAGTGAACACACAAGTTTTGTATATTAATATTATTTTTTTACTAATAATAATAAATGATCACGTGAGAGACCGTATCCTTAATTAATGAGTTTATTCATTTACGATATTGATTGTACAAGAACCTTTTCAAGACGCTCAGAATTTCGTAACCATGCAGAAACATAGCAATTAATACGAACAAGGAAGAGACTGATGACTATTGTACAGATCGAGATCTTTGTTTCGGAAAATAGAGTTTCTATTCATAATATAAATTCTATTCGAATTATTCATTCATTATTATTCATTTCATTATTATTCAAATAGAAACACTATCAGAAAGGCATATTTACTAAAATACTTGGTTTAAAATTTTATATCAATGATTAAAGTCACTTGCCATAAAGGATCGGACTGGTAGCTACCATTTGCCGTAATAATTACGGCTACCGCAAATAGTTTTCAATTACTGTCATTAGTATTATTAGTCATATTAGTCTTGCGAAAATTTTCTTGAATTATTTGAGATCTACAGTAACTGAATTGTAATTGATGAATTAAATCAGTTGGTCATTCATTTACAATGAAATTATATGTGTAAAAATAAAAATTGCGGCAGCCGTAGCTATTTACGGCAGCCGTATCTGTTTGCGGCAGCTGTAGCTATTTTCGTCAGCCTTACTGTTTGTGGAAACCGCATCTATTTACGACTGCCGTATTTGTTTGCGGCAGTCGTAAATATTTTATAATGGTAGTTACCATTGCCGCAAATAACCAATTACTGCAGATGTCTTTACCAATGATGCAGTTGGTCAATGTAAAAGTAAATTATTCCGCATTTGACATTGCACTCGTGATAAATGAAATCGATTTTTATCCTTTAGTAAAATTAATTGGTGAATTTAATTAAATCTATTATTGAATTAATTCATGTTGTTTCAACGTTATGATAAATGTAATTCACTTTATATTTTAGAATACTTTATTTATATTGTTATTCAACGTGCGTTTAATGATTTAAGTTAAAAGTGTAAATCAACATTGTTATTCAACGTGCTTTTATTTATGTTATTAATAAATTAAATTACGCAATGATCATTGATCTGTTGTTGATTAATGCATTCATCAGCATAGATCAACACTTTCAAAATTTCTTGATGCTTGAAATAAACCAAGCAACCACATTGTATAATATGTCATCTATTAATGCCAATGGCATGCTTGTGATGGATGTGAAAATAAAAAAGGCTTCCATATTCTTATTTAATGAACTCAATAATATGTATCTTTTAATTTGAAGCTTATAAATTGTTTCCTTCAAAAGTTATCAGGGCTTGAATTTAATGAAAATTATCAGTCTTTATTTCGAAATTTAGTCCTCATCTAACCTTTGATCCAGAGATGATCTTTTGATATTATTTAACCCACTAGTAAAGACAAACATAAAGAACGTTTCTGCGCAAAAAAATCCTAATAATAATTTTTTTGTATACATACCCCTTTAAACAATTGAAATCACATGTTTCACAACATAAAAAAGATCAACAATCGATTTTGTCACGAGTGTCCATTATTATTATTATTATTATGCTTACATTAAATGGTAATTCAAATATCTGTGGTACATCTACTAATGCCGCAATCGGTAGACAAGCTACCACCAATACTAGTAGTATTCCAAGACCAAATCAACGATTCAATCACACCAACATCACTAATCCTAATCATTCTAACGCTAGTACAACAATTGACAATGATGTTGCCAGATCTTCAGTAATTGCTACCAAAACTACCATTGATACCGCTAATACTAAAACAAATAATAACATTATGACTGCTAATAGTTCTTCTTTTGCTGGTCCAGCAGCCAATCCAACCTTGAATAATAATAATAACAATAATCATCTTCTTAAAAAGAAAACTCTACCAACTTCAAAACTACCAGAACCACCATCAAAACGGGCAAATTTTAATAATAATAAAGAAAAGGCAGTTATTACCACCATCCCAAACAAGAATCACAAGCGTAAATTATTATCATCATCATCATCATCATCATCATCATCATCAGAACAATCACGACCAACAAAACATATCAGAGTCAAAAATATTGATGATCTTAGAAGTAACAATGAGGAAGAGTTTTTAGCAGTTACACATGAATTGGAAATCAATAATAATAAATTGGTTGAATTACAAAGAATTCATAAAAGTCAAGAAGAAGAGGCTAGAAAATTAAAACGACGGAAGGAGACATTAGATAATGAATTAAATGTAGTCAGGATGGTGGCAAAAGCAATAAATATGGATAAACAAGAAGTTCAGTTGGAAATGAGTCAGTTGAAAGAAAGATTATCGATAGCGAATAAAACTTTTGAAGATCAGGATAAAATAGTTGATGAACTGAAGGAAAAATTAGAGAACAGCAAAACGACATGTGAAGAAATGGAAAAATCAACAAAACGATATGTGAAGAAATGGAAAAATCAATAAATAATATAAAAATGATTAGGTTGCTTGTTGAATCGTTAGTTAAACTTCTTATCATATCTATGGACAACATATTTCTAATTATATATCCATTTTTCATATTCACATGTACATTATTATTGATTGATATGGTGTTTGTAAATCAAAAATGATGGTAACAGTGGTGATTATTGTTATTGCATTAATTTTCATAATTTTCGACGACAAACTCCAGAGAAATTATACTATATAATTTCCAGTGCATAATAATAATAAAGAAAGTATCGTCTTCCTGATATTAGCAAATTATTTATTAAAAAATACTTTTATAGATGTCATAAATAAATAGTCTACAACAGAACATATTTGAAATAACGATCCATTACTACTGGTACTGTTGCTATTATATGAAGAAAATTGGATTATATGATAGTATCTTCTGGGTCGTAATTTTCATTTATAAGTCTATATAAATATGATGGAGGATGTCCGCCACTATGTGTATAAAGATAAAGTGCTTTAATGAATATTTTATAATTTATATATATTTAAAATTAAGGGAAAAAAAAGAAACTTACGTATTTGTTACGAAAATACTAACAAGTCCAGGTGAAACATAATCATAATAAGGATTTAAAAATGTAGCTTTATCAATTAAATCTCCTTCTTCAAAACTCAAGATTGGATCCGGAGCCACAAGATCATTAAATGAATCTTCATCATACGGATACAAAGGCGATAATTTGTACAAACCGGTACACACTACAACTGGAGTTGAATGATGTTTTGCTGCTGTGGCAACCATTTGCGATCCACTCACAGAAATCAATCCACCATTTGCAAGAACTTTTTCATGTTACAATTAGAACAAATTAAATTAGGACTAGACGAAATCAATCAACAACATTCATTCAATCATTTACCATTAATTAATTAATTATTTTTTAAAAAGAAGCTACTACCTGCATGAGTTCCCATTATGACTTTATTCACCCTTGACATGACAGCAAATATCGCGGAATCAGCAATCACTGTAGTATCAATGCCTGCTTGAGATAAAGATAAAGCCATCTCATGTCCAAGATATCTAATCAATAAATAGATAAATAAATAAATAAATCAATACACGAAATATAAATATTCAGAGTTGGAAAAGTTATTTACGTTGGCGAAGTTTCTGCTACAATAACAGAAAATTTTCTTTTTTTAGCTGCTGTTTTCAAAAATACTTCAACTGTTCTAGATTTCCCTATTGTCATAATGATCTCGCTATATATATATATATATATATGCATATAAATAGATAAATAAATAAATAAATAAATAAATAAATATCTATATTCATTTAAAATAAATTCAATTAATTCAATTCGCTTACTTGGAATGAATATGTTCCATTGCTTGATCTGCTGTATTTACATACGTATTTTCCAATTCACTAATCATTTCGCGTATCTCTGAAATAATTAACGGTTTCAAATGTATATATTTCTTTGAATTAAAGAATTTTAAATATTTTTCTTCTAAATAGTATAATTATAAAAATCAAAAAAAAAAGATATTTAAATTTCTCTCGCTATTATTTGATGCAGAAATCTTTTTTCCACCAACTGGAATTCCATCACCCAGCAAATTAATCATAGAAGCAGTTGTAAAAGCATAATTCAATCCTGCTTGAAATCTATCTTTCGATATTTTTTCGTCTTTATCATCAATATTACTATCATCATCATCGTTATTATCATCGTCATTATTATTGTTATTATCGTTGTCATCATCATCACCATAATCTAATTCATCATCAACATCATCAATACCACTTGAAGCATTACCGCCACCACCGCTGCCACCGCCACCACCAATACTTGTTTCTGAATTATACACATCACGAATTAAACGTAAAACTCTACGAACTATATTACCAACCACAAGTTCTATTTTATTTTAGTTTTTCAAGGCAAGAAATAATTCAACATTTAATTTATTTATTTATTACTATTGTTATTATTATTATTGAATAAATCAATCACAATTAACCTTTTGGTTGAGCCATTACCAATCTTCTTCCAACATCTTTAATTACATTTATAAGTACATTGATATGTTTCCAACGAGTAGTAGATACGATATGTCGAAGTAATAATGCTGTTTCAAGTGAAGCAGATAAAGAACCTATAACTTGACTAATTTAAACATATAAATATTTATTAGTAAACTGTGATAAATCAAAAGAGAGTTTAAAATAAAAGTATATATAATAAATTGTAAAATGTGTATATATACCGTCTACGAAGACGGTTTACTAAACTTTCAATTTGAGCGTTTAAATCGCGAGATCCTGTCATAATAATTTTGGATTAATTTATTTTTTTAATTTTGTAAAAATCTAAAATCTAATCGTGAGTCATAATCATTCAATAATTAATAAATAAATAATTACATGTCGCACAAGATTTCATTTTAAAACAAATTTCTGGTTTTGTAAATATGAATGCGTCCAAAATCCAACAACGCTTTTTTTAAAAAATACAAAAATTGAGTGATGCTGTAAAAAAGGACATATTTGCTATATAGTTCTTCCAAAAGTGGAAGAACAGGCGACTCTTGATATGTAAATCGTGAATCCAGAACGTAGGTTAAATCCCGTCCCATCATTCGAAACCACTTTCCTTGAAGACTAGCAAAAGAAAATTCCTTTTGTTGCTTTTTTAAAGCTAATACAAAGGGCTTATTTTGTTGGATAAATTGTCAAAAAAAATATGGAATGGTTACAACCAAATAAATTTATAACAAAACAAATTTTCTTTACTAGTGGATAAACGATAACGTGTTGTTAATTAGAATGATAAAGCTTGAGTTTAAAGATGTGGTTATCGATTATTCAAAAGAAGAATAAGTATTCCGCTGGATCAGACTCTAGCAAACTTTCATTTTTTACATTTATGTCACAATAGCTTTCTATAAAAGTCGTGTTTGATAATGAAAGCCTTGAATTGTTGGAAAGTGCTGAAAAGTTCAAGCTGAAAGAAATGAAGACGAGCGCATAAGAGATGATACTGTGTCGACTGATATTCCTCACTGAATTTATCATACAACACGAAAATATTATTGTTGTTATTGTAGATAATACATATTACTGTTATTTAAAAAAAATTGATAAGTCGGTCAATCTATATAAAGTCGCGAGAAGCTCCAAGTTGGTCAATCACTTAGCCCAAGTATAAATTAAATGAATCACGATAAGTGATATCTTATTATGTGAAGGTCATCATTGTGCTGTTTGTATTCTTTTTTTGCAACCTGATTTTACTTCTCAATATCCTTCGATACAAGAGTAATTGAAGCAATGGATATAAAATAATTGTCTTTCCAAAGCTCCATCACAAGTTCAACTTTATTGATTATTATTGGGGAGCAAACAAAAAAATATGCAAGGAAAAATTGTGATCGTCCTTTTAAAGGTTTAGAGGAACTGTTCCAGAAGCATTTGAATCAGTAACACTGAAACAATATGCCTGATACTTACCATAAGGAATTTATGTTGGAAAATGGGGATTTTGGCCGTGTGGCACAGTACTAGGGAGATAGAATTTCTTGTGCTACACATTTTTTAATAAGATCGACAAAATCTTGGCCAATGAAATAATGTTTAAATCCAATCATTCTAAATCACGTTGCATATTAATATTCCGTTGTAGAAAAAACTCGAATTTTCAATTCTAATGCCAAGACAAAATTCAAATTCAAGAATCACCGACATATTAAGTGCTAGAGAGTTATACCCATTTCATCATTCATTATACTCCAAAGCTTTATACTCTGATCGTTATGTGGTAAAACGATTTAGTAATTTTCAAAGTTTAAAACATCATAGAGGTTGTGTAAATTCGGTTTTTTGGAATGAGGCTGGCAACTTGATCATATCTGGTTCAGGTAGGTTAATTCGTTTAAACATGGTTTTTTTTTAATTAATTACAATATACATATTATATTATAGATGATTGTCGTATAAATATATGGGCACCATTTGAAGACCCAGAGAAGTCTCTTATTCATTCAATTTCATCTGGTCACAATGCAAATATTTTTTCTGCTCGCTTCATGGCAAAATCAAATGATAGACACATAATTTCATGCTCTGCCGATGGTGTTATTAGATACACTGATCTTGAGCATATTGTAGAAAATGATGCTAATTGGTCTCCTTTACCTGAATTTAATTGCCATAGTTATATGGCGTAAGTATTTTTTATCAAAGTTCAAACTCCAAAATTCGTAACAAGATCATATATTAAAATAATAACAAAATACTTGTGTGAAATAGATTCGAAGTACTGCCAGATCCAAATGATTCAAATATATTTTTCTCATGTTCTGCTGACGGTCTAATCAATCAATATGATCTACGAATCAAAAAATCATGTCCATGTAATCATTGTAAACAACATATATTTCTTGATCTGAATCCAACAAGTAATCCCAACAAACATCGTCTAAATTCTATTACTATTGACAATGGCAACGATAATAACAGTCCATATAGAATCAGGACCAGGACCAGAACTACTACTGTTATAGATAGTGGTGATGATAATGAATCATCGCAGAAACGACAACAACAACGACATCAACAGCAAAGACGACGACCTGAATCGGAAAATTCTTATCCAACTAGACGAAGAAGAAGAAGAATAATAAGAAGTCACACAAAAGATATGAGCATAACCGCCATATCCATAAGACCTGATAATCCGGTATATATGGCAGCTGCATGTGATGATACTGTACGTATTTATGATCGTAGATATGTAATGAAATCAGCATATCATCGTGAAAGTCAAGTATATCAATTCATTCCAAAGTTAATGCGCGATAGTTCTGCTTCCACTCAAAATAAAATGACCAGTTTAAAGTTTGATCCATGTGGTGGTGGTGATTTGTGTGCTAGTTATAGCAATAGTAAAATTTATTTGATTAGGCCTAATGCTGATCAGGAAAAAAAATCATCTTCTCATAAAAGTTCTATTAGTACTACAGCACCTAAGTGTAGCTATAATAGTAGTAGCAGTAGTGGTGGCGATAATAAGAGTAATGTTAAGAAAAAAGAAAAACAAAAACAAATTAATGATAAGGGCATTGATAGGGACACAGTTAGTCATAATTTGATGGATAATGATGATAATAACCAAAATCACTCTCACTTATTATCAATGCTTAGTATGGAAGGCGTTCTTTGTGGTAGTGATAGCAGTGATGGTAATGTAGATAATATTGATAGAGAGGGTAAGTCAGCAACGAAATATGATGAGAATAATGATAATAAAGTTGATGGTGTTAATAGTATTGAATTTACTGTTGCAAATGAGACAGATAATATTATTAGTAATGATAATAAATATGTTAATAAAATAAAATGCAGACCTATGATTATTGATGATGATGAAGATGATATTATGGGAGGTGGTGATAATGAAGAAGAAGAAGAAAATGATGACAATGATGATGACAATGATGATGAAGATGATGAAGAAGATGAAGAAGATATTGATGATTTTAAAGAAGAAGAAGATGAATATGATGATAATATTTACAGCACAGATGAAGAAGATGAAGATAGTGAATATGAAGAAGCTCATGAAGATGATGTAGTTAAAATTTATAGTGGTCATATAAACTCAAGAACTATGGTTTGTTATCTTTTATCATTGATTGTTTTACTTTTTATAATAATAATAAATTTTTATTATATTACTATTGTTTTTTTATCATAGATTAAGGAAGCCAATTTTTTTGGTGCAAATTCTGAATATATCATGTCTGGTTCAGATGATGGTAGAATATTTATATGGGATAAAATCACAGGTGAAGTAGTTAATTTATTGAAAGGTGACTCGGTAGGTTCACAAAAATAAATTGATTCACATACATTTGCATAAATGCATACATAAATATATTTTTAAATAACTTTATATATTATAGAGGGTAGTTAATTGTCTTCAACCACACCCACATCTCCCAATATTATGCACATCTGGTATTGATAATGATGTAAAGATTTGGTATCCAGAGGGAGAAGAGAATGATCTTTCAGATTTACAAAAAGTAATAGAGCGTAATGAACTTGAAGTGGAGAATATCAATGAAGATAATGATCCAAATCCTATGTTTCTATTGTCTGGTGATTTTATTCAGATTATTGGTAATTTGATTATTAAATTTTTTTTATTGATTTTTTCCAATTAGTGATGTTATTAGATATTATGATTCATAATTATTTCATGTTATTAGAAGCTATAATCAATCAATCTGGAAGGCACTTTATGGATTGATTGTTGGATTGGTCGATTTAAAAACGAAAGATTCAATGAATATGCAATTAATAACAAATTTATTTAGAAAATCAGATTTTCTCTTCATATATTGAAAGTCAATGCTTTTTTTTACATATTTATTTTATTTTTTATTATTTGCATTAATGAAAAAAAAAGAATAATCTTGTATTTTTTTTTTTTTTGATCTCAGAATAACTTTTGCAATAAATTCATTATTAAATTATTATTATTATTAAATTGAATTTTTGTATCAATTAACATGCTGTTTATACTGCTGTTTAAATCCTTAACCCCGAAAAAATAATTAACATAGAAGAAATGTAAATATTACCAATACTATCATCATTAAATTCAATCAAAGCACTTTACAAAAATTAAAAACTGATTGGTGATTGGATCACGTGATACGAAGATTTTAACTTATATAACAACTGTAAACATCTTATACTTTTTTCAAGATTACTATTTTATATTTAGTAAAGATTCAATAATCTTTTATTCGTAATATCTAGGGGTAAGTAAATAAGTGGGGGGACAACTCGATGTTACACATATAGATTTTGTGAATCCAAAACTGTCACGCACTATGAAATTACTAGTATTTATTAGTAGAAATAAATAAAACCATATGGGCCGATTTGCGGAATGGACAAATTACAGGGGATATGTAACACAAAAATTTTACTATTACTATGATAACCAATAATAAATAAGCACATAATAATAAATAATAATAAACATGATGACAGAAAATTTTAACCAAGAAAACACTAATCCTAATCTTCAAATTGAAGAAAACTCCACATACCCATTAGTTAATAATATTACATACAAAGAGCGTGTAAATAATCAAACGAAACGTAGTTTCAGTTATGTTATTATAAAAGAAGGTGTTTATCCTGAAAAAGTCCTTACTGGACCAAAAAGCAAAAATTCTGTAATTAGTAGAAAAAAAAGATCAATTCAACAATATAAAATCCCACATAATTATATTGTAGAAACAACATGGGGACGAGCAGCTAATAAACGAACAGTTCGTTGTAAAATTAATTATGTTGATGGAATACCTCAATTTTGTATTGAATATGGTTTTAACTTTCAAAATGTCATTTTCTCAACTAAATCTCCATCTGATGCAGCGCTTAATTATGAGAGAGTATGTATATTTTATAATAATTAGTAACTTATAGAATTACCTAATTAATATTATTTTAGGCTTTAAAACCAGGGACAAAGGCTACTATTTCAGGTCCCCTTGTATTTGGATTACAATTAAACAGTGTGCAAAAGGCACGTGAAGCAAGAAGAAGAGGGCATTTAATTAAACCAGCCAATAATTGTGTCCAATCAACACTTGAAAAACGTGCTAAAAAAATTGCAGAAAGAACACAAGTTAGTTTTAATAATAATGTTAAGGAAATTTATCATGAGTCTGATAAAGTTATGCTGAAAGAAATTGAATTCACACTTAATGATATGGATTTTCAAGTGAATTATGGTTATGAACAAGAAAAAAAAAATCATCAAATTCAATCTATAGTAAAAGCAGTTGACCAAGGACAGATATCCAGATGTTCTTATCAAAATTTAGCTGCTGCAGAATATAATTTACCACGTTTAGGCTCTGTTTCTGATGAACGCACTGCAATTACTAATTATATGAATCAAATAATTAAAATTTCATTGGTTGACATAAAAAAAATAAATGAACCTGAAGAGTCAATAGAGTCTGAAGAAGAAGATATTGTGGATTTGGAAATTATACAAAAAGTCATTGATACAATGGGAATAGGTATTCGTCGTAGTGCAAAAGACATTTTATGTTATATTATTCCACAGTTGCAGAAACAGCAAATATTAAAATCATCAGATCCAACT